CATCTGTTAATTCAGGTTTTCCTCATCATACCACTTAGCAGGAGGCCCTCTGCTTCCCTCTGCCCTTTATATTATGGATATTCAGGATGTAAATACCAAGTCCTCAGTGTTGACCTTTTCTTATTTAGCTAGTTGCTGAAAATCAAATTGAATAGTCTCCAAATTAACTTCCCCTGCCATATCCCTGAGCTTTAGAGTCAGAATACATTTCATAGATCAAGGATTCTCAAACTGTGGTAAGTGCATCACTGGTATGAGGAAGCTGCAATATCTCTGTACATGTACACATTCCAAGTGACTCACGAGCTTGTCACTTTATGTACCCCCATATACCTGATAAGAACTCCTAGGATGACCCCAAAACCCTTAGATAACCCGCAGAAATTAAAGGCAGGGGGACATGAATTATAGACATACAGCTAGATATAATCAGAGAGAGACAAGAATTCGAGGTTTACATCACATCAGTTCACACCACTACCCACTCCGCCCCCACACACACAAAGCAAGGAGGCTGCAAAGAAAAGGATTGTTAAACTACAGGTAGTTCAATTGTTACATATATGGAACTAAATTTTCTTCAAAAATTGTTTTTTAATCTAGTGTGCCATTTTATTCAAGAGGAGATAAGGAACAGCTGCCTCTGTGTAAAAGACAGCGTGGGAGACCCTGAGCTGTTACAGAGCTGAGAGTTATTTCTGATACTGCCACCACTGCAGTCGGGTATGATCCTTCCTTAATCGTACTGGCAGTGAGCAAACTAAGATTGTTCTTCATGGCTAGGGCATACAAAACAACACATTAAGGGCAGTAAGAACCGACAAAGTCTATTAAAAAAAAAAAAAAAAACAACCTGTGCAGTTACTGCTGACGATGAGCTATTTTGCCACTCCATCTTCATGGTGCAAATCTACAATAGTGTTGGCAGGAAGGACTAAGAATGGTCGAAGACCACTTGGTCACTAACTAGTTTATGGTTGTTTTGGTTGCTGTTGACTTTTGTTTTTTTTAAATATAATTAGTTTCTGCATATACCCCCATTGTCGGGAATTCCTTAGTAACATTGGAAAGGGGAAAATAGGGTGTTATAAGCAGAAAGATTTTGCTATTTTAAAAATAATTCAGTTGCTCCCCAACAATGCTGCTTTGCATCACACTTTCCTGAAATAACAGGAAATCAGAGAGAAGGCCCAGAAGATATGCAGGCAAGAGAGACACTTAAGTTCTGTCCATCTAGAAACATCAATCCACTCACTTTTCGAATATGATAGTCTTGGTTATGGTCATGTAATCTACAATTATCATATTGGGCAGAAGGTGGTGAAGCTGGTAACTAGGACGACAAGTGCTTGGGGCACATATAGGCAGGTGTTAGAGAAGACAACTACATTTGCAGTGGAGAACACTACAACATAACTAAAATGCCAACATGTATCTCTTTCTTAAAAGGGTACGTGGAAGCATTCACCCCTCCTCACTAAAGGATCAATAAGCAGCCTCTGTACCATCATCAATCATCCCAGACAATACTGAGATTTTGACAGAAGAAAGAATGAAGGAGAAAAGAATTAGCACAGGGAGGGAAGAAAGGGACAATTCAGAAACAGCATCTTGGTTAAATGCCAGCTGCAGTGACAAGAAAAGTAGAGAGCAACAGAAGGAGAATGGGCTACGAACAGTTACGCCCTTCAGAGGACAAAATGACATTCTTTAATTGCTCAGGAGGTTTTCAAAATGAGATGTCTACCTCCAGCAGAGCGAAGATTAATCTTCACAGAAAAGTTTGTATGACGGGTTGTTATATGTCGGGAAGTGCAATTTTAGGTGAAGTAGTTGATAGAATCAAATCAGTATTTCAAGTAAACAAGGGGAGTGAAATGTATTTACTGTGAGTTAAAATGATCCAGATTATCACACGGATGTCAGAGCTTTCAGAACTCTATTATGGAGACATGTAACAGGCAAAAACCAAAATAGCTTCTCTACTATTTTTCCTTCAGGGATAACAGCATGACTTGTTATTAACTGGCTTCCTCTTCCTGTTCAGATTGCTGTAAGATTCTGGTTTGGTTTACAAATGATTTAGGGAGGTAAAAGTGCTTTTAATCCCTGTGGGCAGGGAAGGGATAACAAGCATACTATTCTGGAATTAAGTTGTAGGTATTCTGTCAAAGCCTGGACAGAAATCTAAATTGAGTGTCTCGCAAGACATACGTGTGCCTGAGAGCTACAGTTGCACTGAAGGAAGTTAACCCCACTGACAACTGGGTTGACAAATTGTCAAAAAGGCCTTGTAGAAACACTATTGTGGAAACAAGGCCCAGTACAAGTGCTCTTGTATTTTTCCAGTGTACAAGTATTATCTGCATTTAAATTTTTAAGTCAAACTGACAGAATTTCAGTTATTCACTTGCCATGGAAATTTATTTATTTCCACTCCCCCCACACCCAATCACTTTCTTTGGTAATGAAAGGAGAGTCCCTTCTCCTCCCTCAGCACTTCCCTCCTCCCCCTTAGCCAAGTAATTTTCAGTGGCAATGCTCCACGAAACGATTTGCTGGTGAGGACGTAGTCAGCGTGCCTATTTCATATAAGTATTTAGCATATGAAAGAGCCAGGCAGGCAGCAATCCATAGACCTGGCACCAGAAAACCATTCAAAATGCATCCAATTAGCTATGTTAGAAATGCAATTAAAATGGCTATCTGCTCTTCTTAAAAGCAAGATTTATGTGATTTTCCAGCTTCCTTCATCACAAAAAGTTAATTTATGTAGTCCTCTAGTGTAAGCATGCAGTTTGATGACTGGCTATGCCTGAGTTTCTAGAAGAGACGCAAAGATCTTGCAGTAAGTCTCAGGAAAACTGAGACATTAGGTCTGTGCTCAGTGAACCACACGGACTTTCCATTTTTTACTTCATGGAATTTAAGGAACTGGCTAGAATATTTAAAACTGTTTGGTTTCTGACTGTTTAGAGAGCACTTCTCTTCCCATACATCACTTCTTTCAGTTGTAATTAGCATCACCCAGAAGACCTCAAATCAAGATCAGCCTCCTGAAAACTAAAGGTTGGACAATTCTGATAAGAGAGAAGCTGTATGTCCAGAGAAGTAGGCTGATGGCCAGCGTGTGCTCTAAGTTATACATTCTTACACAGGAAGTTCCTAAAAACTGCAAAGGGTAAGGTGAGGTATCTTTTCTGATGTATTTTAGGTTGATGTGGATGTTATTTGCTTTCTCATATTTTAATGTAAAAACACAAATGCAGAAACATTACTGAGACAGCTAAAGGAGGGCAGATAGGGAAAACAACTTCATGAAAAACATCGGGGGAGAATACTACAGTCCAGCTATTATTAAGCTGGCCACGAAGTAACTTAAAAGAGAGACAAAAGGGTCTTACTGCAAGTGGCCTGCCAATGCCTGAAAGCAATCATCTTAACCCTTGATGGACAAGCATCTACTTTTTGAACTAAAACCTGTTAAGCACACCTCCAGCAAGTGATCAAATGCATGTGTAATCTAAACCAAGTCTCAGAGGTTCTAGATCATTCTCTGGTATTTTTTATAATGGTTATCATTATGGTTTTTTGCAAGTGACAAACAACATAAACACTCATTTACAACTGCAGTGGCAACAGTGTACAAAGTTGCATATTTTCTGTCAGAACATGTAAATGGCTAAGGACTACATTGTATATAGTAAATACACACACACAAAATTTATGTCCATAGGATGGAGGATGGACGAGGATAGTTGTCCTGAAATGGGAAACCATAGGATGAGCCCATAAATGAACCAGACTGTTTCTGACAGTGTTTGACAGCTGTGGATTCAATATGGCCTGAAGTCTACTCAAGGTCAAACTCTCAATTTAAACTTGAAGCAAATTCCTCTCCAGTGAGCCATAATCCTCATCTTGTTAAAATTCTTCTCAGTTCAGCGATAAAGGCTTTGACTGTTTTAATTATGATGAAAATCCACTAACAGAAACTTCAGAAAAGTCTGTCAGGACCTATAGTAAAATTTCAGTTATTTTTTTGGTGAACTGGGAGAATAAGGTGGGGTGGGACCAGAGGAATGAAAGGGAAACAGTTTAACTATCTTCCAACAGTAAGATAAGCAAACCAATTAAAAGGATTGTCATCCTGTAATTACCACAGAGCTCTGTATTACAGAGGGAGCTGAAGCTTTGTTGCACAACAAACAGTCATGCCTGTAATTTAATATGAATAATGAGCCAGATGCATGAACAAGACTATTAAATTGTTATCACAAGCAGCCATGTCCCTCATTGATTAATGACTCTGTGTGTCACCAAGGAAAGAAACTCCATTTTTAAGTATGAATTGTCATCATCAGTGTTGCCAAAGCAATAGCTGTCTGCTTTTGACTTACTCCTGAATGTGGCAATTAAACCATTATACAAGAAGACAAAACTGATTATTCTCTTATGTGGAAAACTGAAGGCTGTTAAAGAATAAGGGACTGAGGAAGCCAGATTTGTTTCCAAAGATAAATGCACCTGTGCAAGAACCACATTCAAGGTCAGAGCACATTCTCAATATGAAATTAATCATGGTTCCCCCACTCACTTTCAAATTGGATGCTAATCATAAAATCTTGAATAGTTTCATACACTAGTACAAACACAGCAGAACTAATAGAAAGACATGAATAAAAAAACCACAGGTGTGAAAAACACTTATTTTACGGTAAATAAAATCAACTTGCAGAAGGCATAGTTAAGTAAAAAAAAAAAAAAAAGGTGAATTCTTTATATTTGCTTTTTATAGAGGGAGTATTTATATAGAGGGAATATATATGTCCATATACACAGACAGATAAATACACTTCACATGACTCACCCAAAAATGTATGCTTGAACCTTTGTTTGGGGTTTTGCTGTTGTTGTTGGGGGGGGGGGGGTTTGTTAATGTAAGACTTAGACAGAATGTTCTACCAAAAGCAGCTACAACCTGGCTTCTTCCAACTTACAAGCTTCCCGGAGTTTTTCCTTGTCGTAATGTAGCCCCTCATATTCTTGTAAATTAATCCTGTTCACTCTGATCCGCAGGCGATCTGGGATGGAATGAGGACTGCAAGAAAAGAAGAAAGCTTCTTAGACACAGTGTTCCAAGGAAGAGCAATATGAAAACAGGTTATGATGTGTTTTTAATTTTCTCTGAAAAAAGAAAAAGAACAAGCCTCTGCAAAACTGGCCGACTCCTCACAGGACCATTGCTGCATTTAAAATTATGACTACCCACCGTACAACAACATAGACATTACACCGTGAATGACAACCAAGATCAAGAAGCCCTTTTGCTGGCTGTGTGGTCTGGAATTACAGAGGTTTCTCCCGAGTTCTCTAATCTCTATATAGCTACCCCTACCCTCTTCATTTTGCCTTTCTGTACATCCCTAGGGCCCTGCCACAGCCAGTAGCTCTGCCAAGCTCTGTTTCAGGACACAGATGCTTTCTTGGGAAGTCTCTCAGGACAACCATTCCTCTGACTCTGAGAACATCAACCCTCGTATTCCTGGAGGATCCTCATTCAACATCTCTGTTCTGGGAAACAGACAACAGAAATGTGGCTAAGAAATGGATTTCCACAGTAATGAGTCTGAATCCAGGAGGACTTTCAAAAGCAAGCAGCAGCCCAAGAACCTCATTTCTACAGATTTCAGCCAGACTTAGAGGCCTCAACTGTATATATAATTTTGAAACACTCAGTGGATCCCTACCTATTATTTTAAGTGTCATATATTGATAAAAAGTTGTCCTGAAAAGCATTGTTGTGACTTCATGCTGACTTCCACCTTACTGTAACCTATTATTTTGTAAGTTTAGCTGAAAGCTATGCAAATTAACTTGGCCACATTTGCATTTTCCACTTTTAAAGAAAGATAGATAACCCGTGTATTGTAATGCACATATCAAATGTTTGTCCTGTAAGAACTGTCCCCTCTCTATTGTAAGATATTTGATCCACAGCATTTGCACTGCTACTTTAAATGCCAATCAGGACAAGCCACATCTCAAAAATGTAAAGTTTTTTTTTCTTTTCAAACAAGCAAATAATTTTCTTTTTGCCCTGAAAATACTGCAGACCTGACAAAACACATAGTTTGCAGCCATCTCTTGACAGAGCCATTGGCAATTAGCAATTATTTCAGCATTAGGTTATTGCATGCTTTCTCTCTGTTGTTATAAACAGCTCTGTCACTTCTGGGCAGATGAAAATAAAGATTGAAAATCAAATTCCAGTTAAAAAAAGCTCTGTTGGCACAAGCACTCTTTGCCTAAAAAGTGATAAAGGACAATGAATTGAGGGCACCTCCAAAACTGGAGTTTAAGACAACACACTAGAAGAAGCTGTATTGAAAAAAAATCATGTTCTGAACAGGAGTTTTGATACTAATGATGAAAATAAACCTAAGATACATGAAGAATAGCTTAGAAGAAATCTTAAAAAGTGATGGACACACTCAGAAACACATAGGCTGCCCAATGTTTTTCCTGTGCTGATTGACAGTGACTACTGCATCAAAGTGCCCCAAGATATTAGTAAACTGCCTATATTTAAGATGAGCTTTTGCAGTTTAATAACAGACACTTGGGATGGTAACTTCCAGCACGGCTTCAGGGGGCAACTTTCTAACTCAGGTGCCCTTATGTCATCCTCCAGAACAGCACCCTCCACCTGCAGGCTCTACAGTTGGCTCACCAACCCAAAGAGTACTGGAGGCAAATGGAGGGGAAAGGTGCACAGAAGGATTGTGCTATCTGACACTTTAATCTTTCTTTTCTTTTTAAGACAAGTTTAAATATCACCTCACTGTCTGAGAAATGGACATAGTCTGAGAAAATATGTTCCCTTCCAAATTCTATCAATTGTAAATTCAAAACTGAAAATCATAGGAGATTTTAATCTTAGCCAAGAAAAGATAAGAAAATGTTTAAGTCAGAAAACATGGGAATTTAACTGTGTAGTCTTTGAGCGGACAAAAGAAATAATTCACTGCATGTAGTAGGGTTCATGAAAATGACAGACTGACAGCTGTGAAAAGTGAAGTCTTTCATGCACTGGTACAATGCACGAAGAAGCAACGTTGCTTTTCCCATAACGTTCTGCTACTGCACATTATGATGAAGTTAGCTCAGTCTTACAGTTTACAACCTGGGGGTTGCTGGTAGGTGTGGGGAAGGGACTGCTCGTGAATTACCTTTTCTTCTTTGAACTCATCTGGGAGGAAATGTGGTGGAGAGACAGGAGAATTCAGCAACTTATTTCTGTTGTAACACTCAACCATGCCACAAAGGCGACCATCCTTGCTACTTGCTGAGTTCAGCCAAGTGTACACCCAACCCAAAAAACTGTCTCAAACTGTTGTTTCTCCTGAAACCGGAACCAAATCATAGAATCATGGAATAGTTTAGTTGGAAGGGACCATGGAGGTCATCTAGTCCAAACCCTCTGCAGTATGCAGGGCAATCAAATCTGTACTGTTCTGTCGAAATCTTCGAGCAACTCAAGCTGGAGCTCCATAAAAAATATGCTTTCCAATCCCCAGTTCAAAATAACCACTTGACCAAAAGCTGCGTGGCACTTGGTCTTCCTGGTCAGGTGGCCTGTAGCAGACCCCCACTATAATGTCACCTGTCCCTGCCCTCCCTTTAATCCTGACTCATAAGCTCTAGGTCAGGTCCTCATCCATCCCCGGGTGGAGCTCCATGCACTCCAGCCAGTCACTGACATAGAGGGCAACCCCCCCTCCTGGTCTCCCCTGCCTGTCCTTCCTAAAGAGCCTGTATCCTTCCATTCCAACACTCCAGTCATAGAAGCTATTAGTGTCTCACTAAATTTTATTACCTATTCAACACAGCTTTGGCTCCAGAATTCCCTGTGTATTCATTCTTTGTGCTATCACACTGGCAATTGACATTAGGGAATATTGTCCTCATCATTCAACTAATTAACTAGATCACTGCCAGAACACATGAGCTCCACAGAGTGATGTTTAATGCAGCTGAGGAAAACACTTCCATCATCAATACTTCTGTAGTCTTCACAGATACTGATAATAATCCATATTATTAAACAAATTTATCTTGGTCAGACAAACTCAGCGTAATCAGAAACCACAAAGCTTGAGTACATAAGCATGTCCGTGTAAAAGCTAATAATAGGATGATGAATGTCACCAAAAGCAAACATTAGTACAGTATTATATAGAAATGGATGTTTCTAAACACTGTATAAAACAACTTGCTCAACTGTAAAGAGAGGTAGAAAAGCTTTCCAGATACAGAGGTAGACAATTTATAAATAAATTTGGGAGGATTGCTGCACTGCAATTCAACCTCAAATATTTCCATTTCTTACACCTATTATCTTCAAAATGGTGTATGATGTAGTCAATGAAAAGTAATTTAAAGTACAGATGAAGGAATTCCATTACCTCCTAAAGAATCTAATTAAGAACCTCATTCCACAAATACCCCAATCCACAGAATTACATCCTAAAGGTCATATGCCCCCTGGGACGATAAATACAGATTCAGGTCAACTGAAACATTCTGTTCATTCATGTTGATTAGCTATAACGGTTTAATTTAAACACAAACCTAAATATCAATCTTTTCAAATCAGGAGCATAGATAAGTTAGTTTACCACATTGAATTTTATCTGATGGACTTCTGATTAGCATGGATCAGCAATGCACATTTGGGGCACTATTAAATAACAATCCAAATGAGCCTTGTAGAAAAGCTATGCACATTATTTAATTGGAACAAACTATGAAAGATTCCTCAGAGATGTTATGAGGTACTCTCAAAATTATTCAACTCGTATCAAAAAAATATGTAATTTCAGTAATAGAGAATTATTTTCTTTCCTTTTTTTAGCTGCAAAATGGCCGAAGAGTACAAGGAAATACTTTCTATCAAACAGCATTTGACTCTTCCACAAGAATACAGAAGAACATCTAGATACTTAATAACTCTTATTATAAGGAAAAGGGCATGCTTTCTGAAAAATCTTAAAACTTCTAGACATTCATTAACATAAATAGTTAACTTAATTTTCTGGTTTTTAAGTTTACTTTTAGGTGAGAAGACATCCATCCCATGGTACACCGGGTTACACATCAGAATCAGAACCACTCTTTGCACGGGGATAGGTCTTAAAGTCAACATCATGCTAGATAAACTGTTTATAAGATGAAGTAATTTTTAACACCAACCACCCCCCCACTGGTAATTGCTTACCAAAGGAAAGGTATGCATTTGTTTCCCTCCTAAGCCTGAACTACAGCATTTTTGGGATTCTAGGAATGTTATCATTACCACCACCTCCCTCCCCACCAAAATCAAACCAACCCCTAACACAAAAACACAGAGCTTTGACAGGAAAAAATGAGAAGGGCTTATTTTTTTGAAAAATCCCTTTCATTCCACCACTTGTTCAAACCCACAGAAGCAAAGCCACACATACCTATTCTGAGACTACCAGCAGAACCTGATCTACTTCCATTCACTTAGGTTTTGATGATTTTGATGAAGCTGTGACTTTCTCCTCTCACCCTTATTAATCATCCAGCAACAGGCAAGAGTTTGCCAGTGAACTCACTTGGAGCACAGCTGGTTTTTCTAAGAAATGTGCTCCTGCCTCCAGTCACCCAGGAAAGAAAACAGGCTGAGCGAGCTTGGCCCTGCCCTTGGTGCTCCTGCACAGCAACCTGATAACACTTCTGACATGCCACCAGGTTGATTCAACTGGGAAGACAGACTTTTAAATTATATATGCCCTAATCTCTATATCAATTATTTATGAACCCTGTGAACCATTTCTTATGCTTTGTGTCTGCATAGAGAAAGGAAATAATAAACAGTCCAACTCTACAGAACGCAGCAACAAATTTCTGATAGATCTTACAGAATACAGCCCACACCAGCCTACATATACATACAGATTTTAATATGATTCAGTAAACAGAAAAGAAAAAGAAAATATTCTATATGATCCTCCTTTGCAAAAAATAAACTTTAGGGAAAAAAAAAAAATCGCACTCCTCTGGGGCATGTTTGCAGTGACAGATTAATGAATTACCTACCTCCTAGAGAAGAAATAAACGTGAAAAATTAATTAAACATTCTAGTGTTTAGAACAATTGGAAAGAGAAAAGCAGCAACCAGAGGGGAAAAAGAAATTAACCTTACTTTTGAGATCAAATTGGCAGAGCTTGGAAATGATACATTAAAAATAAGTGTTTTTCACAGCATTTATCTACTTGAAACATAAGAACTGCCACAACAGAGCAGAATCATCCAGCCTCTTCTGACGGACAAATTTCAGTGCTTCACAAAAGTCCACTGCTATTTTAAGGCAAAGCTCTATTAACTAAAAAAAAAAAAAAACCACCTAAAAACATGAGCTCCACCACACATTTTTTTTCTTATATTTGATGAGTGTTATGCCAGATAAACCAGGTCAACCCGACTGTACTAAACCCTTTTGCACTTTCTTACCTCACACTTGCTTCAGCAAGTTCTTGAGTGTTTTGCTGTATAAAGGCTAGACCCACACATACACTTAAATACATGCAGTATACGTACAGTTCTACTGTCTCCGCAACAAAGACCATATGTGGCTAACAATTTTGGCTGCCCCAAGTTCCCATGTATATCCTGCTGCAGAAAACCTGACATTTATCTGAGACAGGCTGTATCCGTCACTAGATCTCAGCAGAACCCTCCCTGCTGTTCAGTACTAACTGGAAGTCAGGCTCTTTCTGTGTTGTTCAACAAAAAGAGGAACATTTGAAACTCAAAAGCCATCACAATCCAAATCAAATTTCTCTAATACCTTATGGGTTCTTCTTTTAATTTGCCAGACACACTAATTGGCAGACACATTGCAGCAGCATGTTTAATCTATTTTTACAGATTTTAAGATACAAAACATCTTTGACTTACAAATTACTTTGGGGCTCACAAGTCTCTCTCTCCCTGCCTTGTCCTGACAGCTGATATCAAATAAGACATTTAAATGAACTGTATCAAAACTGAGGTCATTTTCCAAGGGATATCCCTCAACTTGGTAACAATACCCCTTCTCCTGGACCCACAGGTTACTTAATGTTCTGTGTAAGCAGTAAGGCTTATCTCAACTTTTTTCTAGAGGCTTGCTTAGATACTGAGTCAGTGAGACAAGTTATTTGTATTGCTTCCTGTTCCTCAGCAAAGTACAGCAAACGTGATCCAGGGATAAGGCACACTGAATC